ACTTGCAACTAGAGATTTTCCACGGAAGAAACGTTTCATCGATTTTGAAAATTGCTTTTTTTTCTTTTTCTTTTTTTTTTTTTTAAATCCCTCGTTTGTTCCATCATTATCCAAACGCGTCGCGTTTGATGGATGGTGATAGTAATGGCGACGACGATGATAATGATGATGATGATGATGATGATGGCGTGGTATAGCGTATAGGCATCGATCCGCGAGTCGATGAAATTAAGAGTGTTATTACTGTCGTAATAGAGTGATAAGAGGCGCGACTGGTGATATCTGGTTCGTGTTGTTCCCTCTTCGACCTCCAGTCTCGTTCTCGTTACCCGGCGAAATAACGCGCAGAACGAAATTGATGGACGAGGATAGAGGCCGCTTACGCAATTCGGCCCCTCGTGAACCCGCGTGCGACGACGCGATATTCTTTTCTCGCGAGCGAAAAGAAAGAAAAACTTGAACTTGTACTTCCTTCTCGTTGATCGATTTTAATTCCATCGTGGATAATTAGAAATTAGGAATTCAGAGAAATAAAGAAAAGGAATAAATTTGGAATTTTTTAACGGATTTTTAACGCGAGAAGGTGAAGAAAGAAAGAAAGAAAGAAAGAAATAAAAATGATTGAATCTCGAGGTTGAATCGTTTCCGTTGACCCCTTCGAAATCGCTAATCTATTCCGGTTAAGCGATTTTATTGTCCGACAAGCAAATATCAGTCACGTTGCCATATCGCGTTAGAATCCACTTACACGCCACGCGAGCGTGTGCATCGATACACGCACATCGAGGCCACGTGTCGTCCCCCCGTGCAAGCAGATTGTCCAATGGCAAACGTAATTATACCGATGATAGAAGGAATCCGCGTGATTCACGATTCTCTGTGTATGTGTGTACGTACGTGTGCTCGGATGCGTCCTTGATTAAGTTTTTCGAAAATCGCTAGAAAATCCGTTTCTGAAAATTGTGAAAATTCTTCTCGATCGATTTTTCATGATTTTTCGTTTAAAAGTATCCGAAATACGAATTATTGTAATTGTAACGTGGAATCGAACGAGGAAAATAATAGTTCAATGGAATTTCTTAAGGGAATCGATCCTCGATTAACAATGGAATTGATCGATAATTAAATGGAAAGTAATTTTTATGGAAGATCTCTGTCGATTGAACGTTTTTCTTTTTTCCTTTTTTTTTTCCTTCCTTCCGATCGAAATACGAGCATTTACGGCCGCGTGAATTTTCTCTTTTGTTCTTTCCTTTTTTTTCCCTCCCCTCTTTCCCTTCGTTTCCCTCTTGATGTTCCTTTTCATCGAAGCCTAATTCGTCCCTCTGGCGAGAAGAGCGACTAATTGTCATGAACAATGCAACGCGTAGCCAATCGACGATTCGTTTTCGTCCGCTAATTTGCCAAATGGTCGATCGTTTCCTCCTTCTCCCCTCTCCCAATTTTCTCCATAGCGTATAATAGTTGGAACTCTTCCAGATTTTCCTCATTGGCCGCAAATTCAATTCCATGGTTTTTCGTTTGTTATCAACCAGACTCGGTTGAAAATCCATTCCATATAAAATTCCATATAAAATTCTACGCTCTTCGACCGAGGAAATCATTCGCGCAAGTTGTTCTCCGAAAACAGGAAGATACTCGAATAAGAAAATGAATAAGAAAATCGTTTTAACGTCAATAATCGATAAAAAAAAAAATAGAAACTTCTCTGCCCTTTATTCGAAATGAAATTCGTAACTGTAAAAAAAAAAAGAGAAAAAAAGAATCTATCTGCTGACCATAAAAGAAAGAAAAGAAACAAAGCAGCGAGAAGGGTGCATCGCCACACACGGCTAAGACTGCATTTTTCATTGCGTTTCCCCCGGTCTGGAATCGATCTGGAAGGAAAAGTAGTACCCGTACATGCTCTTTGTGCCTTGTTGTTGTGTATTACCGTGCATCTGGAAACAAGGAACGCCATTTCCACGATGCGAGCTTCCACGTCCTTGCCTACCTACCTATCTAAACCAGCAGCCAACTCTAGTGACCCCCAGAGTCTAGGGAATAAAGCATTGTTCCGCGTCGACAATGCCCTAATGTCTCGGTACGGGTTCTCAATAACTGTAAGCTACGTGTGTGCGTGCGTACACACGCGAACCAAGCTTGATACAAGCTCGAGCATTGGATATACCCTCGACAAACACGATACTTATTCAAAGAGGAGGAGGAAGAGGGAGAGAAGGAATCCCTTCCTCTCGAAACTCCTCGAATAAGGGCAAGTTTCGGTCCTTCCGCGGTGCTTATTTCGATCGAAGGACGAGCACGAGGACGTTGCTCGAGTTTCACCTGTTTCCCTGTGACAGGTGTTGGCGCGCACGGAATACCTTCTACCAAGCCAGGTTGCAAAATCTCTCCTCGACGCGGTTTCGAGAACGGCAGATATCGGATCGAGATCGATTAATATTTGAAAGCAGGGAGAGGTGTTTGACGAGTGTAATAACTGGTTTCGAACTGAAATGAAATACTTAGATTATTCCGTCTTTTTTACTTTCTCTAATAGATTACTTTTTCTCGTCAGATGAAATACGAAGAGACCCATATCGGTTTCAAAAAAAATCTTTGAATAATTTCACGTCTCCTCGTAAATCCTCCTTCAATTCCCATTATCGACTAATTTTCTACTGTTTTTTAAAAACGCTCCCTTAAAATTCCATCCTCTGGAATTCCACTCGAGGAGAAAGCAAGAGAGAGAGAGAGAGAGA